ATTGAAACGCATCCTGTTTATGTTAGCCCACTCCTGTAACCTATCCAGATCTTGCCGCAATCTTTCCCTCCCTACTAGCGTGCTCACCTCACCCCAAATTTTGGTATCATCTGCGAATTTAAACAGGTTGCATTTCACCCCGTCGTCCAAATTGCTGATGAAGAAATTGAACAGTGCAGGCCCAATGACTGAGCCCTGGGGGACTCTGCTGCCCACTTAACCCCAAGTTGAATATGACCCGTCTACCACCACCTTCTGAGTATGACCCTTGAGCCAATCTGCAATCCATCTGACTGTGTAGGCATCAATGCCACAGTCGCCTAGTTTTTTAATGAGGATGGGGTGGGAGACGGTGTCAAAGGCCTTGCTGAAGTCTAGAAAGACTACATCCGCGGCGACACCTGCATCCATTGCCTTTGTGACCTGATCATAAAAGGCAATCAGGTTGGTCTGACATGACCTGCCCCTAATGAAACTGTGCTGGTTGCCCTTGAGCATCATCCCTGAAGCTGGCCCATCACAGATGTGCTCCTTGAGGATCTTCTCAAAGAGTTTCCCTAGGATAGAGGTAAGACTAACGGGCCTATTGTTGCCCAGGTCCTCTCTCTTCCCTGCTCATGGGCAACTCTAAACTGTATCTGCACAAACCATGGGAGATGTGGATATTTGATGCACTGATGGAAAATTAAAAACTCTCTAGTGTGCGACTGTGGTCACCCAGAATAGACCATGGGACATATAACAACTCAATGCCCAATCCACAACTATGAAGGAATGATACACTCTGCTGTACAGTGATACACAGTGATGCACTCTGCTGCTCCTGACAATTATCTGGCTCAGCCACCTAAATTTAAAAGTATAGTTGCTGTTCTGTATCTACATGAGTCATATGAAAGAAGAATATAACATATTTCTAAAAAAATCAAAGCTTTTCCTTGAACTACTTTACAAGTAACTCTTCAGTTTAGTAATGATTTATTATATGCAGGTTGATATCTTAAGTATCAGTACATTATTGCATAATCTTCAGTGTATGAAAGGCAGGATGTCCTCTAAGAACTGTGTATAAAGAATAAGTAGTTATATAATAACAATGTATTTATGTGGTACAGCAGTAGTGGTACAGCAGATAATGTTATATTATAGTACCTGGTAAAGCAGTGTGTCCAACATACTGATGCTGAAAACCCTTCCAGCAGCAAAAGGCAGTCGAAACATAAATGCAAGATTAGAACCTTTCTCTCGCTCTTTCTGTTCAAAGAATAAAAAAGAAAAATCAATACAGATGTTGTTGTTTGGTTTGTGACCTGAAGAAGAATATTTTGTATTCAAAAGCTTGTTTAACTCTATTCCAACTATGTAACTGGTCCAATAGAAGATATCATTTTAAGAAATCCTTAAAAAAATACAGTAAGTATCATCTAAGTATACAGCTCCCTCTCTCTGGATTATCATATATTTGCATCATGTATATACAAAAGAACTGTCAACACTAAACACAGGTATAGAAAGGCTGAAGTGTTAAAAGCCCTATTGCTATACATGTTTCATGAATGTCATCCTCTTAGGGGGCTGACAGACATGCAGCCCCCACCTGTAACTCTTGGTGCTTCACAGAAAGGGAACCCCCTACTACCTAATAGATGTTCACTGTTTGGCCTTGGAGGGAGGGAGGGAGGGAGGGGGAGCAGCAATAGATCTCCACTTCTGAGTCAATCCAGGGGAGAGAGGTTATATGTCTGCATCCTCTCTCCCCTAGTCCTGCCCCCTCACCCCGTCTCAGCTCCAGTGCTGTCTTCAGGATGGGAGGAGGCAAAGAGAGGCACAGGAGCTCTGTTTGAGATTTGCCCAGCCAGCAGATTAATTTGTCCCACAACTGGGTACTTTTAAAGTGCTTTGCAGCCATGCTCTTCTGTTAGGGCATGGCTGTAGAGCTCTTTCAAACAGCCAGTCACACAACAAACATAATTTCTGTCTATGTCCTTAGTGTATTCCCCTGTACCAGTATGGGACCAGGCTAGCAGATTTATTTGGTGTAATAAGGGCCCTTCTGCCTATTTGCTACTGACTTTTCTATAGTCTGAGCCCTGTACTAGGAGCCACTAAGGAGAGCCTAATAAGGTGAATCATGTTAGTACTTGTTTAACGCTCACCAGTAAACAAATTGGTAATTAGCCCCTGAGACTAACCCCACAGAAGTCAGAGGCAAACTGTCAATGGAGGTCATCTTCTCTGTTTGCTTTCCTGCCAGTTAATCAATTCACTTGTGCATTTCCCCTACTTTAAACCCCAAAGAATTGTAACAGTCAGTACTTAACATCTCCACTATCCCCAAATTACCAGAGTTGGCCAGTGTTATGAGGTTCTGTACACAGCCTAATCCAATGGTAGTAAGCTTGTTTGGCAATCAGATAACATGTAGAGTGGGAGGTTAATCCTAGGACTGTTAATATCAAGGCTGCTGTTAAAGAATATGCAGTTAAATTCTGTTTTTTCCTGCATGGGTTCCTGCTCCTCTGGTTCTTGTCTGTGTGGTGTATGTGAGTAGAATATTAAGACCTAAAATAGTCATTATAGATTAACTGAATATGAAAACAGAAGGATGATACACAAAGTACTCTAAAGTTCAATTATTCTAACAGAGAAAGATATTCCTTCTCCAAGTATCTTTAACACTGTATGAAGTACTGGAACAGATGGATCTTACTAAAGAAATCTATAGCATGCTTAAGAAAATATTGCAGAAATATTTCTGTTGATGAAAAAGAGTGTATACCTATTTGTACTCAAAAGTCAAAGAAAGCATTGTCACTAACATGTTAGGTTGTATTTAGTGTTGATTACTATTTTTGAAGAGAGAGCATAATTATTATAAAAGAAGTAGCTGTGGAAAACATTGGGAAAAGAGATGTTCAGATACATATAAATTGATAATGATGATGCCAAAACATATTATTTCTGGCTGGTGTTTTCCAGAGTATTTGGTGCTGGCCAAACTACTCTCATTAATAGCAGTAGAATGATTCAGTGGAAATAAGCAAGCTGCTTCAGAGAAAACACCAGCCATGTGGTTTATTTACTATAAATAGATTGAACTAAAAATGTATAGTCTTGAACACTTTGGGAGCTGGACTCTTCTCAGTGGTGGCAGATAATAGAACAAAGAGAAATGGTCTCAAGTTGCAGGAAGGGAAGTTTAGGTTAGATATTAGGAAGAATGTTCTCACTAGGAGGGTACAAATGCACTGGAACAAGTTACCCAGAGAGGTTGTGGAATCTCCGTCCTTGGAGATTTTTAAGACCTGGCTAGAAAAAGCTTTGGGTGGGATGATCTATTTGGGGCTGGTCCTGCTTTGAGAGGAGGTTGGACTAGATGAGCTCCTGAGATCTCTTCCAACCCTAATTTTCTATGATTCCATGACTTCCACACTGGCGGGAATTTAAGTCTAGACTTTGTGGTTTAGACTCTGTCAGTACTCTATTATATGACTCTTAGGGTAAAAAGAAAACTGATTCTGTTATTAAACATGACCAGTTAGAACTTGTGAGATGAAAATTCCAACATGGGGAGGAGAGAAAATAATATAGACACAATCTAATAAAGGAAATGATTTGAAGTGGCTTGTTTCATGGCCAGTGTGGGAAGCATTATCCAAATTTATTTTTCTTTTCTGTGTAATCTTATTCACCATTCCCCAAAATATTAAATATGTTTCTGCAGAGCAATCATCTACTTTTGTGATGCTTTCAAGAGAAACATTTATTTTAAGGTATTGTGCTCTTAGCACTGCTAAATATTTTTAAGAGCTGTGTGTTTATAACTAATAGACATAGCCTGATTTTAGCTGATCAGGCCTTAACTTTACATGTAATATCATTGAGGTGAATGGGTTTAGACAAAGGAAGAAAGCCTATTAATGTAACTGCTTTTAAAGATTTTGATTTTAATATTGTACAGGTGTATCTGATTTTTAAAACCATGGAAGACAGTGGAGAAAATACAGTAATTTCCTGTGGTAAAACTGGTATGTGTATAATATAAACCTTTTTTGCTTAATATTCCATGATTAAATGTACATTTTTCTTTGATTTCCAGGCAGTTACAATTAAATAAAGACTTTTATATTCAAACCATAAATTATATTGTAGAGAATGACTGTGAATTGAATGACCCTCCATCAAACAAACTGAAGGTATTACATTTATTCTTCCATCTGCTCAGTAGTGGATAAATGAATAGTGGAGTCTATTTTTGGTGCCAAAAAAGGGGAGAGGGAGAGGTCAAAGGAAAAAAGATGCAATGCTTTGAGTAATATTTTTGGCTTCCACCTAGAAGTTTGAAAAGTGGGAGGAAGGACTTTTTTCTTAACCATATATAGTTTATTTCAAAACAAGATCTTGAAAATGGTTTCCTTTGAAATATTTCATATTCCATCTCCTGTCTGTCTCATATTGTGACCTTCCTTTTCCCCCCTTGCTTAAGAAAGATGATAAAAATAAAATTATCTCTACTTTCTGATTTGTTACTTGTAAACTCATTAATGTTCCAGTGAATACTGTAGCTCTGGATGCTAGAAAGGCACTGAAGTATCACTGACACTTGTATTTCATATTAAATATGGTACCCAGTAATATTTCTAGTGACACACATTAAAATTCAGTCATAGGAAAAGCATATATTTATGGAAAAAGCATTTCTTATCTTGAGAAATAATTAAAGAGTTTAGCATAAACATGACCTCTAAAACTACTAATATAAATTTTCTTTTTAAAATTTATGTTGATATACAGAGTTATTAATAGATAGGGAGGTTTATGCATCGCCAGTCATCTTCTCTCTGTTTATGTGACTCCAAGTTGCAGGCTGAAAAGTCCTTCATTGTTGTTAGCTGCTGAATTGTTGTAGCTGCTGTATTTCTAAAAGAAATTAAGAGCTAAAGATGGGATCCTAAGAAGATTTGGGAATGTATGCTCTTACTGACATGGTATATTCCTCATGATATTGTCTCACCCTGGAAATATTCCATCAGTATTTTCCCTTACAATTATTAGTCAATGTCATACTGCAAAAAAGTTAGAAAGCTTACAACCTAATGGGTAAGTCCCAACAGCCTGAAAGTATAAAGTGCCTTTAGGTGACATTTCTTTTAAAGAAAGTGACAGTGTCTATACTTTGATATTTTAATATTGTGTTTCCATACTTTTTTGTATTGTGTTTCATTCTGTATTCTTCTCCTTCAAATGTGGACCAAATCCTTACTACTTCTCTTTCCATTGTGACGTTCTTTTTCTTGCATTTTTTGGTATAATATCAAAGGAGCTTCACAGACTATATTGTCAGTGATATAGGATTGCAAATAGATTCCTTCTCCATTGTAGATAGTAATTATAGATTATGGAATTGCCATAATCTAATCAAACCATTCATCCATCTAGATTAGCAACCAGTAGCAAATATAGCATGTTTCTGAGAAAGCTGTAAAAATCTGGATGGAGCCTAATATTTTGAGGAAAAAAAATAGAGGCAGTGCCTTTTTGTATTTGACAAGCCTCTTGACAAGCTTCTTGTGTCAGCTTTGAAGCTTTGAAGCTGATCTTCAGTGTACAGAAAATATTCTTTAGGATATTGTCTTCAGGTACCTTATATAAGACACTTTTACTCTTTAGGGCTGCATCCAGATAAATGAGGACATTTGGTTCTCCAGGGACAAGTAGCAGCGGTGCATCTTGGCCCCAGCAGCCTTCCCTGGGGTCCTGGGGGCTTCCTGGGGCTGCAGCAGCAGCGATCCTGCTGTTTGGAGCCTGGCTGGCAGCTGGAGCATGGGTCTCCAGTTTTGAGTGGTGCACATTGCCCCCACATGCAATGCTCAGGAGTTTTTTTGCACAGGTTTTTCTGTCCCCTGGATAACCAAGGGTCATCCCCGCCCCTCTCCCCACTTCCCCATGCTGCTCCCTTACAGTATAGAGAACAACTGAATGTACAGTATGTGGTACTGCAGACATATTGCCACATACCACACTGCCACTCTTGTCTGGATGTGCCCTAAGGGAGCATACAGTGCATGTCTACATTGAAGGATCAACAGAACATTTCTAACCAGACACCATCCACCCACCACTATTACTTGCATGCTCCAAGTCTAAGTCAACCTAAAATCTGACCTCTTTCACGGCTTTGGGTACCTATATCAGATTGGGATTCACAGCCCAAATCCCCCTGCTGAATTTCGATAACTCACTATTTTTAATTT